TATCGTCGCAGCGTTTGGTCGCGGCCAAGCAGCGCTCGTGGTGGCGCCCCCTACAAGGATCTCGTCGCGGCTATAGGATCGAGACTCCGAAACCGAGGCACCGCGGGAGACCGCTAAAGTGCTACGGGAAGAAAACAAACGTGGCGATTGTAGATGGCGCCGTTGGGCGAGATTTCGCAGGACCGTCGCAGAATTTGGTCGCGGCAGAGCAGCGCCCTCTGGAGGAGTCTTGCGTCAGCGAGGCGACCGCGACGGTCGAGCCGACACAATCCCATACATCCCGTATCCTTGACACAAAACCATGGAACCACAGCATGGAACCGTGTATCCGTGACACAGAACCATGCGACCACAGCATTGAACCATGCAACCATGATACAGAACCATGCAACCGTGATACAGAACCATGCAACCGCGACACGGAACCACGCGACCGTGACACGGAACCACGCGACCGTGACACGGATCCATGCGACCGCGACACGGAACCACGCGACCGCGACACGGAACCACGCGACCGCGACACGGAACCACGCGACCGTGACACGGAACCACACGACCGCGACACGGAACCATGCGACCGCGACACGGAACCACGCGACCGGGACACGGAACCATGCGACCGCGACACGGAACCATGCAACCACGGCACGGAACCGTGGAACAACGATGTAGAACCATGCAATCGTGACATGGAACCATGCGACCGTGACATGGAATTGTGCAACCGTGACACAGAAACCGCGACACGGAACCATGCGACCGCGACACGGAACCATGCGACCACGACACGGAACCACGCGACCGCGACACGGAACCATGCGACCGCGACACGGAACCATGCGACCGCGACACGGAACCATGCGACCGCAACACGGAACCACGCGACCGCGACACGGAACCACGCGACCGCGACACGGAACCACGCGACCGCGACACGGAACCATGCAACCGCGGCACAGAACCGTGGAACAACGATGCAGAACCATGCAATCGTGACATGGAACCATGCAACCGCGACACGGTACCATGCG